ACAATTTTTGCTCCCGGATACAACTCTAACGGAGAGGTAATTCCCCGGAACATTGTAGAATAGACATTACTCAACAAAAGTCCGTTGGGTTTTTTGGCCTCCCTAGGGGATCCAGTTCCCACCTCATTGACCCGTCTACAACTTTGTTTTTCTAAAACAGGTTTTCATCTCGAAAACGGACCGTCAGCACTGCAAAAAATACAACAAAATCACGTATCTTAAGGGCCAGACAATAGTTTTGAATGACATTAGTTTGGGACGCAAACCAGTGCACTTTAAAGACAAAATCGGACTGGTTGATTAAATTAGACTTCTTATTCACAATCCCAATGTTTCATTCAGACGGTAGCAGTCAAACGAAGTTTTTCTTTTCCAATGTTTCTACACCACTCCAGATCCGTGGCATAGATCAAGTTAATATGATACGCAACCTAGTCAGTTTGACCTGATGGGCCTTGTTTACCGACCTTGATTCCTTATCAAACACTGTCTTACACACCACTTCAGCACAAAAAAGTTCCAGTCGGCTTAGTCCTGCCGTGCTGCGGTAAAGGGGCCTTGTAAAGGCGCGTGTATTTCATGCTGTTAATGGACTGATAGTGGCTATCACATGTGTCAGTTTTAATTTTTCCTTGTGACCGACCCGCACGATGGCACAGTAACAAGATCAGCAACCCAATTCAGTACGTGACTTCCACAGAAGTAAACTCGTGGAAAACTACTCTTGGCACCATGTCGGTTGTAAAAATCACGCTTTTTTGCAGTTCCAATCAGGAGTCTGTTTTCACTGTCCACACGGAGGTGGCTTTATTCGCATTTCGCACCACCCGAAGCATGTTGGGACACAAAAGAAGGGGAAGGGGAAGTGCAATCAGTCTTTTTATGTGTAATAAAGTGGGAGAAAGTGGGAATGGAGTAGCAATACAACCTCTAAGTCTTATAATTAGCGGACTAGTGAAAATGAAAACGAAACATCGTTGGGGTTATGAGCAAGGAAAAAAACGACTTGAGGATAAAAATATGGACGGGGTTTAATGGGAATCGGTGATGCGGGGAGTGTAGCCTACGTGAATTTTTCGCTCTGCTCATCCTCAGCTTTAATTTACTTTGAGCTCACAATGTTGTTTTATTAGGGTTGGTCTAGCAACGACTATTTTTACAACCTTCTATGTGCCCTACTTACATTTTCACAAAGGGGGAGGATTTTATTGGTAGGAGCTTCCGGTGGAGACAAACCAGAAAAGTGCATGGGGTGTGGAATTGGAAGCTTCAGATCAATCGTAAAGTCTGGATAGGTTATCTTTTGTTTCTAGATGGTTAGACTAGTCCAGGTAGAATATGGTTCTGAAGCTATTCATCAGGGATTTGTCGTAACCTTCTGTTATCATTGTGTCTGATATAACCGTGAATATTCATCAGCTTAATTTGATCAGAACCACGGCTGCGGTCAGTATGACTGGATGAAAACTAAAAGGCTCTGTGCGAGTTTACGTCATCAGTATCTATCATCGGCCTTTTTTTGGTACACTGCAGAATTCGCGCGGACGCAAATAACCTTTGACTCTCGGTTTGTCCCGTGATCCCTTGGGGTAAGAACGACAGGCTTGTCCTAAAATACCAATTGGCTCCTACCGAAATTGCGGATTTGTCTCGGTAGGTACGGACAAATCGCAAGATAATTCGAAATGAATTTGAAGTGGGCAATGAAGACGTGCAAAAACGCTTCACTGGACAGCTTTTGACACCACTTCCGTCTGCTAAAAAATGGAATATCCACCTGGTTTCAAAAAAAGTTGGGATAAAATTGAAGTCCCATTTTTCCCACAGCAGTGCCTAGTATAAGCTTTTTACGGGGACTGAATAACTAGTCTCCGTATGCTTGGTTGTTGTCATGGCGAAATGAATAGTATGTTGGATGACCAAAAGCTTTGTTCAGTCTGAATACCATGACAACGGAATAGGCTCCCTCATGTCTTGTCCCAGAGTTGGAACAATTAATTCATGGAATACAATGAAAGAATATCCATTTGAGTTTATTTCTAGGCTAACGGTGCTAAATAAAGTGAGGATCATCGCGTTAAAGCAGTTATGTCAGAGTTAGACTACTTTGCAAGTGGCTGCTGTTGGGCCCTTCGGTTGAACCCTACCGATACAGAGTCCACACGACCGATTTTGCAAAGTCGACAACCCACTTGGTGGCAAACAAGATATATGCTAAAATTCGTAGTTGCGCTCGAGAAAGCCGAGCTGTGTCCGCCCAAAACCAAATCCCTTTCCTTCAGTGAGGCCAGGTAAATGAACTCGTGCACTTAAAGTTACTCTTGTTGTTACTCCGCACCTGCTCACCTGGCTGGCCCCAGTCCAAGGAGATTTATTACGGGACTACCAGACACAAAATGTAACTTCGACTGGATAAAACTCGAATGACATTTTCAGTGTGAACCACAAAACAAGGAATGCATTCAGCATTAGATGGTCAGCGATTGTGGGGTACAGACAAACTTTGGCAACCTAAGCAGCTCATGTAAGAAGCGGTGCGGCTAAATAAGAGCCTAGTTGACAGTTTCATCCAAGTGGATTATTACAGTGTCCACTAAGGAATGATATCGCACATCAGTCGGTCACGGCTGACGGGAAGATTGATGTGAATGAAGTCAATCCGTAGAAAGTTTGCCTATTAACTGCGATCTGTTTGTTTTTTCAAAAAGATGAGTTATCTGAAGCATCTCACCCTCATCAGGGCACACGGCTGTATAAAGGCCATGTTATTCCATCACAAGTAGTTTCAGAATGATGGTCCCAGGAGTGCGCGTCCAGCGACAGGCTTGCACAACCGAAGAATTTGGAGCTAAGTATAACCGTTTCAGTAACCAGCCACTAAACATTTGAGGTAATCAGACTACCGATGAGTAGTGAAATTAGAGCTCCAATACAAGATGTTCAAGCGACAAATTTTGCACCTTGATATGGACATGTAAGCTTGCTATGTAAGTCTTCCGAGATGGACGATTCATATGTGATCTAAATTGTTATAAATTTTGAGTATTTAGTTGATCCTACCTTTTCTGATTTTTAGCATCGACTGGCTCTCCATAAAAGGCGAAATCCCAAGTGAAAATGACCGAATCTATACAGGCTACTCACAGTCTATAAGTAGCTCTGAACTATAATGAGCAAGGTGAATAAGACCATCACATGAGAAATTTTTCACACAGGAGGCCAGTCAATAAGTGATCAAGTAGTGTGTTGCCATTGATTTGAGGATAAGTGGTACTATATCCTGTCTAAGTGCGTGTTACTTACAGTGCCGCCAGCCAATCGTGGTCCGTTTTGTAAGAAACGCATTGTTGTTGATTCCCGATAAGGACGTAACAGTCGTACAATGCGTCTCGGCCTTTCAGCGCAGACCGCTTTTATTGGCATGACGAAACCTCAGTCGGTCCAACATGGTTATCCCGTAAACTTCACAAACAGACCTTTGCATTTATATTCTAGCTGCTAAAATGCTGTGTTGTTGAACCTATCTCGTAAATGAAGTTGGTGTTGTCATTTTTTTAAAACTTGAAGGGATCTTTAAAGGTTAGAAAGCGGATAAGATACCCTCACAGGTTGCGAATCAGCGAGTTATTTACAGCATATCATGGGAATCATACCAACTGGGTGACCAATACTCAAACCGGCCATTCTCAAGCCATTGTTTTTAGTTGCCTCGAGGTTTTTGCACGAGCCTGGACTTACGATCCTAAGAGCGTTAGAAATCACAAATTGCAATCGATTTAACAATGGAACCCACAAAAAACTGCAGAAGTCAAAAGTCGGTCACAAATATCAAAATTTGTCTTCCTAGTTATGAGTACAACTATTGTGGTAGTTTGGTAAATTGTTCCCCAACTCGACTAAAATCGTTTCATCCTGTGATCAAGGA